TGCAACTGAGGAGCAGTGGCCTTTTGCTAATAAGCCTGTCGTCTCTGGAGTGAAAGGGCCTGTGGCTTCTTGGTTGTAGTGGCAGTCACATGTGTGCTCAGCATCTCCATTGCGAGGATGGCTGGATCAAGCTGCCTCTTTGGCTCTTGGTTAATCAGTGGTGAATGGGTGGGTAAGTTTAGAATTCCGGCTAAATATGTCTGGCTTCAAAGATGTATTCTGCTCAGAAACTCAGCTTCTGTTTCATCCTAACACTTGGCTGCTGAGTTGCTCTGTGTTTAAATTCTAGGCTTTAAGTGGCAGCTGTGGATCCACTCCTACCACTCCGCCATGTGGTTTTGCTATAGATAGTACAGTCTGCAGCTGGGGTAAAGTCAAGAGGACTCAGCCACGTGTTTCTCAAACTGTTTTTCAGGAAAACTCAGCAAGTTTTTTTTGAGACCAAGTTTCACTCTTGTTGCCCAGGCTGGAGTGCAATGGTGCGATCTTGGCTCACCGCAACCACCGCCTCTCGGGTTCAAGTGATTCTCCTGCCTCAGCCTCCTGTGTAGCTGGGACTACAGGCATACACCACCACACCCAGCTAATTTTGTATTTTTAGTAGAGACAGGGTTTCTCCATGTTGGTCAGGCTGGTCTTGAACTCCTGACCTCAGGTGATCGACCCACCTAGGCCTCCAAAGTGGTAGGATTACAAGCGTGAGCCACCGGGCCTAGCTGAACTCAGCAAGTTTTAATTGAGCATCTGCTGTGTTCTCCTGGTATAGCTCTCCCAGTAAGGAGTAAACATAATAATTCCTGGTACTCTCCCACTCCTTTCTGTCCCCTTTGATTGCAACGGACCTGCTCTGGTTCTTCTTGCTAATTTAGAGGCCTCACAAGGGATTAAAAACCAAAGGAAAAAATTCCCTTCTAAAGTGGTATCGTCATATTACCAGAAAGTTCTGATATCTTGTGCTGATTGATGGGAGCCATTGTCCCCTGGTTCTGCTTTGTTTTGCGGGGACTCCATAGTACCACCCCAAGGGGCAGGGCTAAGAGCCTCTCTCCCATTAACCTTGTCTCCTCACTCCTGACTACAGCCTCCCTCTTAGGGACATCTACATGGGACCCTCTTAGACTAATCTGTACCCGTGATCAGCCTTAGGCAGACCACTTCGGTCATGGCACAGGACTATTTGTTCTACTGGGCAGGGCAGGACACTAGCATCTGGTCTAGACAGATCTTTGAAGTAGCTGTATTGGGAAAGGAAAGAAAATTGGCCCAATCCCACATTTCCCTTCAGAACCACTAACTGCTGTCAGAGGAGTACTTGTTAAATAAAGTTCCCGCAGCCCAGCCCTGTTTTTCCAGCAGCTTCCATTCTAACCTACCATTATGGCAGAAGAATACATAAGTATAAATGGTGATAATGAAACTTATTGCAAAAGTCCACTGGATGTTTCTAGGGCTCAGGGCTAAGACACAGGAACCAATAACCCATTTATGTTGGAAGCTGCAAATTTTTTTTGTGAAAATCAGACCCTGACTTGCTCAAGATCACGCTTGAGCAGTAGGATATAAATTAACTCCTACAGGGTTAGGGTTCCAATAATGGAACATGAGACATAAGTGGGTTAAAGCATCTGCCCAGTAGGTAAGGGCCAAATTCTGGTGGCACATGATCCTGGGGTTGGACTCTAGGCTCTGTACTTAGTAGCTATATGTGTGACCAGGTTACTTAACCTCACCAAGCCTCTTATTTCTTCATCTGTGAAATGGGCATAATAGTGATCTGTAGCACATAGGGTGTTGGGCAAATTCTGTAGAATAGTGCATGTGGTGTGCTGGGCCCTGGTGTGCCATCAGCATTTGCTAAAGGTAAACCTTTATTACAGTTTCAGTGGCATTCAAAATGCCATGCCATTTCAGACTTTTTAAAAACAAATCTCGTGCAGATATTACATAGTACTCTTCAGCCTCTGACCGTTTAGCAGTGGATCTGTTATCCTGTGACTGTGTAATTTTAAAAGTGAATGGAAACACCTGATAATGAGTTGACCTGATCTGAAGTGGATTAAAGGGACACTGTCAGGGCACTGGCACCCTAAGTGGGCCTTATACTAAAAAGCTTCAGTTCCTGCTAAAGGCACCTTCTGATCCTTGACCACAGTGGGGTTCGATGGCATACCTCCTTCCTGTGAAATCCGACACAAAATCCTTTTATCAGCCTGCCTGATCTGTATCCTTGGACTCATGGCTGCTGTGGAAATTGGCCCAAGATCTCTTCGTGGCTCAAACTGACCGAAGCATATGAGAGGTGGGCTGGAATAGTCCCAAGACGGCTGGATTGTCCTTCCCCCAAAATAAAGACAAAGATCATTCCTGTTTCTTCCGTACGTGAACCTGGTGGATGCTCCAAAATCAAACCAAAACACTACCATGAATAAGAGATGACTGCACCCCTTTGATACAACTTCCTATTTTTGTCTTTGTTCTTCAAAAGATCTAAACATTTACTAAATCCTGTTATGCTGAAGGTGGGGAAGTTAGAAAAATAGAACATCTCCTGACAGGTAGAAGATGGGATCCCTGGAGGCGTTCCTTTGGGATTCATTTTACCTCCATCTCGTTTGTTGTCCAGTTTCCTTTTACAAGGATTAAGCAGGCATCCTGCTGGCTAGAATCCTGTGGCTTCCCTGGAGCCTCAAATTCTTGTCTAACCACATTTCTAGTCATGGTTCCTGCAGGAGACATTCACTCAAACCACCTGTTACTGAGGCATCAAGCAAGCCGAGAGGCAGTGGGCCTCTGGCCCTAGCAGGAGCAGGATCTCAGGCCATCCCACCAGGCGGCCAGCCTAGGCTTCTCACCGCAGGCTTGCAGAGTGGGCTCTGAAGAGAAACCGATTTGTGGACAGTGTCACCCTCCATCCTGAGCCACATGGCTCATGTGGTTGCAGCCATTTTTGAGCCAAGGAGGGGGCCCCCTCTAGGTGCAGCTGAACTGGGAATGCTAGCCAGAGCGGCCAGAGGAGAGGCGTTGGGGAAGGAGAGAGGTATCTCTTGCTGGCCTCGGGATCTCATCTCCTTTTGTCTTGTTTAGGTTTCTCCTCTGCCTCCTACTTAAAGGTCCATGTTAAAACCCACCACGGTGTTCCCCTTCCCCAGGTCTCCAGGCACCAGGAGCCCATCCTGAATGGGGGAGCAGCGTTCCACTGCGCCAGGACCTATGGCAACAAAGGCAAGCGACCCCTTGCTCTGCACTTTGCTTCTCTGCGCAGACTGTGTTTTGGGGGCGCTGGGCTGGGCGTGGGGAGGCGGGAAGGCTGCCGGCTTTATGGCTGCCTTGAGGAGGTTCAGAGATCTCAGTGGCAGTGGCCTCCAGGACAAAAGTCACAGTGGGTATCCCACTTGAAGGCAGTGAGTGAGGCTTTAGGGCACTGCCAAGATCCAGCCTCCGCCTCCTCTTCCCCAGCCCTCCTCCCTTCCTCCTGGCCAGCCCTCACCGTCTGGAGCCCTGCAGGGATACCCCAGGCCCTGGGCAGAAGAAGAGCCCTGCATGATGAGTCACTCTGGGCCTGTCCACTGCCTGTTGCCCTTTAGGATGGTGTGGAACTGCGGCTGAATGCTTTCTCCTCTTTTGACCCAGTGGGCTGGTGGGAGCCAATGTCTGGCTTCTCTCATAATAGGGGTGATTGGTTGCTGTCAGTGGTCCTTTCCAGAGAGCCTCTGGCTGTGGTTATGAGACGCATGGAAATAATGAGCTATCTGACTCCTCTGACTTGGGAGTTGGTTTGTGGAGAGCTCCCCAGGCGTACCTTCACTTGTTGATTCAGGTTGTTTTGTGGTATGTCATATTGTCGTTGCCTTGGGGATGAGGCCAGGGGCTTGGAAGATGGTAGAAACAGCAGAGATGGCATGCTCCATGCTCCCATCACAGACTTCCCTTCCCGGCATGGCTCTCTGGACCCAGGCAGGAAGCTGCTGATTGGTGGAGGACTCCAGTGTGGGCCAGGCAAGGCAGAGCAGCCAGGGTTGTCTCTTGGCCCAGCTTGTCTGGGGCCTAGGGTGGGGACACCCAGCCGACTGAGATGTTCAGAGTTCCTTTCAATCTCTATGCTTCGGCTGACTGGCCCTGGAAGGGCTTTGGCAGAAGGAAGGCAGTAAGGGCAGGGCTTGTGTTTGCAGCATTAGGAGAAGGATTGGCTTCTGTCTGAGCCATTGATGGGGTCTACCCAGATTGAGGACCTCAGGGCTCTGGTTCTGCCTTCCTTGCTAGGGGGTAGCTAGTCTGGTGTAGGAGACAAGGCCACTGTTACACTGGTTTGGCATCATCAGAATACCAGTTTTACTCCTAGAGGCACCCAAAAGAGTGCCTAGGAGTTGGGGGTCTTTAAGTTGTTCTGGGCAGCAGTAGTACAGGTGCCCTGTCTGTATCCCTTCCTTGAAGCAGGCTGAGATGATGGTGAGCAGTATATGTGCAGCTGCATGAAGAATTTACGGCAAGGGAGGCTGGTGGCCCTAGGGCCCTGCCATTTTAGCCCTGTAGCCCTGTAGGCACTCCAAGCTCCCAGACTGACCAGTTGACCCTCTGTGGGTTCTGCCAGGGTGGTGGCTGGCCAATGGCTGCCCTCCACAGGTCTGTGAGCTGGCCCCTCATGACCCCTCCAGGAGGGTGCATCTCCAGAGCCTGGCCTCATCTCTCTCCTGTATTTTGTTTTTTTGTAGAAGGCCAGAAATGCTCACATCAGGATCCGATTGAGAGCTCTGACTCCTATGGTGACCTCTCAGATGCCAGCGATCTGAAGACGCCGGAGAAGCAGAGTGCCAATGGCTCTTTCTCCTGCGACATGGCAGTCCCCAAAAACAAAATGGAGTCTGATGGGGAGAAGAAGTACCCATGCCCTGAATGTGGGAGCTTCTTCCGCTCTAAGTCCTACTTGAACAAACACATCCAGAAGGTGCATGTCCGGGCTCTCGGGGGCCCCTTGGGGGACCTGGGCCCTGCCCTTGGCTCACCTTTTTCTCCTCAGCAGAACATGTCTCTCCTTGAGTCCTTTGGGTTTCAGATTGTTCAGTCGGCATTTGCGTCATCTTTAGTAGATCCTGAGGTTGACCAGCAGCCCATGGGGCCTGAAGGGAAATGAGGCAACTGCTCTGTTCCCATGGAAACAGCCATTTGGGGACTGTTGGGAAATGCTGTGAATGCGGAGGGAAGTGATGTCTTTGGGTTCTGTAGCTGAGAGATTTTAATTCATTTTTAACTACCCCCCAACCCTACCCCAACTGCTCCACCACCCATTCTCCCAGTGGTCTTTAGAAATAGATTGTCATCTGATATTCTGCAGAAATATCAATGAGACCCAGTATGGGAAAAGGGCAGAAAACACTACATAGGCCTCCAGGGCAAAACCAGTCCCAGTTTCTCTAATGGGCAGAAGCTGGAATTCCTGGTGCTCAATTCTTAGTAACCCCAATCCTATACCCAAATCTACAGTATTCTGGGACCTCAGTGATTTTGGTCCTCTCCCACTTCTCTAACTCCTCATTCCCCCTTCCCATATCCTTCAAAAGAACCACACTAGGGTCTCCACTCACTTAAACAATGCTGATGCCCAACTGTTTTTAAGGAAGCCAGAAGCCTTCAGCATCCATGGACCATGGGGTGAGTGTCCTCTGAGAGCCCCCCTGAGCTCAGCCCTTTCTGAGCCCTGCTTAGAGGCAAGCATTTTCACTGCTAGGACAAGCTCAGCTATTGAGGACACCCCCACCCCAAATTTCAGTTCTTACGTGATTTTAACCATTCAACTTGCTGTTGGGTTTTAATTCTCTAATTATTATTATTATTGTTATTATTTTTTAGGACCAGTTGTAGTGAATTGCTACTGAAAGCTATCCCAGGTGATACAGAGCTCTTTGTAAACCGCAGTCACACATTAGGGTTAGTATTAAACTTTGTTTAGATGTACCATAATTAACTTGGCTAGTTGATTGTTTGAAGTCTATGGAAGAAATAGTTTTATGCAAAATTTAAAAAAATGCCAGTCTGGTCAGGGAAGTAGGGGGTTTCAATGCTGTTGGGAGCCAGGGAGGTAGGAGAGCCAGCAGGCAGGGACAATGTGTACCTCAGTTGTGTCACATGTGAGCAAGCCCACGTTGACCTTGTGATGTGAATTGATCTGATCAGACTGTATTAAAAATGTTAGTACATTACTCTCCCTGCTCCCTTGAGTCCAGTTTTTCAGCTGTGGGATCTTTGGGACACAGAGGTGGGCAGTCTATACCCCAGCACCTGGGGTAGGAGTGGGAGCCCAGGAGACCCCTTTTCCACTTCATTGTACTAGTTCCACTGGGATTGACAGGTGGAGAGTCGCACTGAAGACTTAGAATGCCAGAATTCACCCAGTTTTTCAACAAATATTCACTGCTTGTCTTCACTGCTTGTATGCCAGGCATGGTTTTATGCTCTTGGGATATAGTGGTGAACAAGACACTGCTGTGAGGGTTAATGGGAGAGATAGACAATTTAAATATGAATTCATATAATGAGAAGTGTAAGGAGAAAAACTGGGCAAGGTGAGGAGACAGTGACAGCAGTGGGGTGAGTAGGGTGGACCAGGGAGGTATGAAGTGGGGTGGGGCTCTGGGAGAAAAGACTTATAGAGGGGATCTGACATAGCCTACCCACCTATCATCTGAGGAGGGACATGAGCAGGGACTCCTCATGGCCAAGGGGCTTTAAGAAGCTCACCAACTTGTCTCCCCCGCCATGTTATCCACCTGATGTTAAGTAAAAGGTTGGTGCACGTTAGTGTTGAGTGTGTGAAGGAAAGAAGGAAATAACAACAAACAGAAAGCAAGAAGCAAGCACAATGGATAATTAATGGGAATAAGAATGAGGAAAAAAGGGGACAGGCCAGCTGGGCCTGGCGGCACACGCCTGTAATCCCAGCACTTTGGGAGGCTGAAATGGGTGGATCACTTGAGGTCAGGAGTTCGAGACTGGCCTGACCAACATGGTGAAACCCCATCTCTACTAAAAATACAAAATTAGCTGAGTGTGGTAGTGCACGCCTATAATCCCAGCTATTCGGTAGACTGAAGCAAGAGAATTGCTTGAAACCAGGAGGCAGAGGTTGCAGTGAGGCAAGATCACGCCATTGCACTCCAGCCTGGGCGATAAGAGTGAAACTCCATCTCAAAGAAAGAAAAAAAGAGGGGACAGGCAGACTTAAGCAACCCTGGGCATCTTGAGAAATCTCAGGGAAGAGAGAAACCCCTAAAAGGATAGAGACAGCATTTAACCTCCAAGCAAGAAGAAAACAAACAACGGTATAGGAGAGAAAAACAGACCTAGGGGAACAAACAGCACAAAAATTTTTAGACCCATATTGGTATCAGAATTACTTTTTTTTGTGAAATGGAGTTTGCTCTTGTCGCCCAGGCTGGATTGCAGTGGTGTGATCTAGCACAGCAACCTCCACGTCCAAGCAATTCTCGTGCCTCAGTCTCCCAAGTAACTGGGATTACAGGCATGTGTCACCATGCCTGGCTTATTTATTTATTTATTTATTTATTTATTTTTGAGACAGAGTCCTGCTCTGTCGCCCAGGCTGGAGTGCAGTGGCATGATCTTCGCTCACTGCAGCTTCCGCCTCCTGGGTTCAAGCAAGTTTCCTGCCTCAGCCTCCCGAGTACATGGGACCATAGGTGCATGCCACCCTGCCCAGCTAATTTTTTGTATTTTTAGTAGAGATGGGGTTTCACTGTGTTAGCCAGGATGGTCTCAATTTCCTAACCTCAAGTGATCCGCCCACCTCAGCCTCCCAAAGTGTTGGTATTACAGGTGTGAGCCACCACTCCCAGACTAATTTTTGTTTTTAGTAGAGATGGGGTTGTACCACATTGGCCAGGCTGGTCTCAAACTCCTGACTTCAGGTGGTCTGCCTGCCTCGGCCTCCCAAAGTGTTGGGATTACATGTGTGAGCCACTGCACCCTGCCTAGAATTACATTGTTCTGGTGTAAAGGTAAAGACTCTCAGCTGAATTAAAAAAAAAAAAAAACAACTCTAAGCCATTTACACAAAATCTTTAGTAAGCTGCTGGGCTTTGTGGACTGTGTGGAATTGAGGCTTTAGGCCATTTGATGTATTGAAGGAAAGGGTAACCCTAGAATGTGGAGACCCTGTGGACATAGGGCTTTGTGACCACCACAGAACCTGGTCACATCCACCGAGTATTAAAAGTAGAGAACCTGAGACTGGGCGCGGTGGCTCACGCCTGTAATCCCAGCACTTTGGGAGGCCGAGGCAGGTGGATCACGAGTTCAAGAGATCAAGACCATCCTGGTCAACATGGCGAAACCCTGTCTCTACTAAAAATACAAAAAATTAGCTGAACCTGGTGGCGCGTGCCTGTAATCCCAGCTACTAGGGAGGCTGAGGCAGGAGAATTGCCTGAACCCAGGAGGCGGCGGTTGCGGTGAGTCGAGATCGCGCCATTGCACTCCAGCCTGGGTAACCAGAGCAAAACTCCGTCTCAAAAAAAAAGGAGAGAACCTGGCTTGAACCATGGACTTGACTGGGCTGGCCTGAGTTCTTGAACTCATTTTAGTTCTGCTCCCTGGAGACCTGTGAACATGTCCATGGACAGGCAGGGACCATAGGCATTAGAAAGGAGTATCTGTCACATAGGAATGGAACAACAGAGCAAGCAGGCTGTTGCGTATTCCAAAGCACTGTTCACCTGGCAGCCTGAGCTTTGGGAGGCCAAGGCAGGCGGATTGCTTCAGGCCAGGGGTTGGAGACCAGCTTGGGCCACATAGTGAGACCCCATCTCTACAAAAAATGAAAAACAGCTGGACATGGTAGTGCACACTTGTAGTCCTAGCTACTCAGGAGACAGGGGCAAGAGGATCACTTGAGCCCAGGTGTTCAAGGTCACAATGAGCCATGATTGCACCACTGCATTCTAGCCTGGGTAAGAGAGTGAGACCCTAACTCTAAAAAAATCAAAACAACAAACAACAAAAAAGTAGAATCTGAGCTTTGGCTGTTCAGCTTCACCATCTGCTCCCTGCCAACCTTGGAGAAATCCCTAAATCTCTGAGCCTGTTTCCTCATGAGGTCTTTTGTGAAAACCAAAAGAGACCATCATCATGAGCTAAATCCTCTGCACAACCTGTAAGGCTAGTTCCATTATTCTATTATCATCCCCCTCTTGCAGATGAGGAAATAGGGTGACAGCGATGGAGGAACTCCCCTGGGTCACATAGTAAGTCTTAAGAGTCAGGATTCAAACTCAGGTCTGCCTTATCCTCAGCCTTTATTCTTAAGCTCCCAGTGATAGTTTCTTTATGCACATGTAAATACCTGGTACTATGCTTGGCACAGAGGAGACTCTTGCCAGGTCCCCAGGATAAGGGCCTATATAGTTCAGGAGAAAAAAGGCACTGAGGGTCAGAGTAAGTGCCAGAGGAAGGGCCCAGATATCCTGTGTAAGTGAGCACGCTCTTCATTCATGCACCCACTCTCAGCAACCTTGGGCCCCACTGAAGTGAAGGTGGACTTGAACCTGGTAGAGGTGCCACACTATGGAATCAGTCCAGTCCCTGGCTAAGAGCCTAAGCCAAGAACAGGCCAAGACTGGAGCACTGTGCCCATCTCCCTTTGTGTGATTACCTATCCCTGCCTTGTGGAGGTGAGGGAGAGTGCGTGGCACCAAGGGATCCCAGCAAATATTGACCACTAACAGCCAAGAGCAGGTGGGACCTGGGGGCCTGGTAGGTTGTGGCCAGGCTCAAGATGTACTTTCTGAGAAACTTTTTACAATTCAGCCAGTTCTCCAAAGCTGGGCTTCCTTAGCTGTAAAGGGGATGACAGGCCTGGCTGAGTCTCACCCTTACATGGTCACAGTTAGGATGAACAATGTGCATCAGGTGTTGGGTAGAAAGCCAGGCTCTGTGAGAGTGGGATAAACTTCCTCTGGCCCACTCTGTTCCTTCTTTCTGCCCTTCTCCTTTAGTAGCCTTGGGGGACCCCCAAAACCAACTCTTCACAGCAGGCACCTTTCTAAACACATTTGACATATTAATTCAGTTTGCCCTCACATTCGCCCAAAGAGGTATGAACTGCTTTTACAATTGAGCAGTTCTTAGCC